CCATATGACTGTCAGCTGATTTCTCAACAGAAACTTTGCAGGCCAGAAGGGAGTGGCAAGAAATATTCAAAGTGATGAATAGCAAGAACCTACAACCAAGATTACTTTATCCAGCAAAGCTATCATTCAGAAGTGAAGGCCAGATAAAGAGCTTCACAGATAAGAAAAGGCTAAAGGAGTTCATCACCACCAAACCAGTATTATATGAAATGCTGAAAGGTATCCTTTAAGAAGAGGAAGAAGAAGAAAAAGGTAAAGATACAAATTATGAACAACAAATACACATCTATCAACAAGTGAATCTAAAAATCAAGTGAATAAATAATCTGATGAACTGGTGATTGTAATAGAATCAGGGACATAGAAAGGGAATGGACTGACTATTCTTGGGTGGGGGAGAAAGGGGTGTGGGGGTGAGTGAAGAGATTAGACAACAATCGTGCACCTATGGATGAGGACAGTGGGTGGGGAGTGAGGGCAGAGGGTGGGGTTGGAACTGGGTGGAGGGGAGTTACGGTGGGAAAAAAGAGTAACTAATGTAATAATCTGAACAATAAAGATTTAATAAAAGAAAAGAAAAGAAAAAAAAAAGTGCCAGGAGGAAAAGATATTATCATATTTCATCACAGGACACACCATTATTTATATGTCTCAAAAAAACTGTGACACCAAGGTCAGATGCTACCAATTGTAAGACACATCCCAATTTCAGACTAGGCATGGCCACCTGAGCAAGTTACTTATTTTTCTGCCAAACTCATTCTCTTCATCTGTAAAATGGGGTGACATCACCCACTTCCTAAGGAAGTAATGAAAAGTAACTGGGAAGCAACCCAGTGTTGGGCACATAGAAGGTATTTAGTAAGTGCAGTAATTATCAGTATTAATGTTATTACCACATTATTGTTATTCTTAAGGGGAAATACAGGGTTGAACCACAATCCATATTCAGTCCACCACATCACACCACCTATCAGAGCAAGAAGTGTTTCCAACATGTGAGCTTAGATTTGGAGCCCTAAACAGCCAAGCCAGGGGTGGGCCAGGACTTGACTCTGGGTCAGGTGTGTAGGGCGGGACCTGGGTAAATGAGGTGGGAGGAGAGAGGAAGGGGTACAGTTCTCAACTCAGGAGGCCAAGTTCACCTAAGCGATCACTCTTCTGAAAGGTCTTTTTAACCTACCAGCCTATCCCAGAAAGCAGCTTAGGAAACAGGAATCCTGGAGCGGTAGGATCCCAATAATCTGTATGACTTCTGTTCCTAGGTTTTTCTGAAATATATTCTTGACTATCCCCTGGGTGATAAATTGAGACCGAACTTGGAATTCATGCTCGCTCAACTAAAGTAAGTGTAAGCCGTGAACTATGCAGAGACAGTGGGGTAGTTTCTTCTCTCCTCTTAATGTGGCAGCTGTCTTGAAAAGAACAAGACTAAACATAAGGGCATATTCTCGGAGGATGATCTGTGAGTCACCGACTTAACTAGCAAACGTAGCAGTTCTGAGTAGCTTCAGTATGACCACTGATGGTCACTAGAGTCCACTGAGGAAAATTGTAAGGATCTAACAAAAGTACATGTAAAACCGCACAGCAGTTGGGAAAATGGAGTGTTTTCCACTTTTTAAAAATAGACTGGCATCTTGAGACAATATTTTAAATTCTTAAAAATAATTGTTGATAAATTTAAAAGATACTAACGAGTCCTGCTCTTCTTGCCCTAGTTATGAACATGAGACCGGCAGAGAGTCCGCCTTGGAAATGATTGCTTATCTCTTTGACACGTTCCCTCAGGTACCCTCTGTCACAAAGACAAACTGGTAACTGTGTTTCCCTCAAGCCCTCGGGTGCCCATGGTCCTCCCTTGGTGGGGCATCTTGGGATTCCAGTCTCAGTGTGCTCATATGTGCCCGTTTTCTTTTAGGGACTGCTCCATGAGAACTGTGGGATGTTCTTTATTCCTCTTTGTCTAATGATGGTGAACGATGACTCTGCCCTGTGTAAAAAGATGGCATCCATTTCGATCAAATCCTTACTCAGTAAAATCAACCTTGAGAAAAAAGATTTTCTTTTTGATATGGTTGCCACCTGGTTTGGAGCAAAGAAGGTTAGGGTTGCTTTGAACCATATTCCAATGGAAAGTCTTAGCTTTTGGTGTTCGTACTTTAAATAAGAACATATATTCATTGTTGAATTAATTTTTCCCAAGTAGCTTTATTATTTTTATTTGTTTATGTTAATAATATATTCTTATAGTAAAATTTCAGAAGATGTAATAAGTTGTAGATGTAACATAAGAATCACCCGTATTCCCACTACATGGTTAAAGTCAGCCAGTTACTAAGACTGTGTCTTAATTCACATAACCAGCCCCCTTGATGAGTACTTTTGTTTCCAATTTTGCTGTTCAGTTGATGGAATGTAATTTTTGTCAGTGATTGTGTCCACTTGCTGACTTTACCACTATTAACTCTGGCCCATCTTTTGTGGAATATAAACAACACATCATAACGTAATACTGGTTTTAGTATTAAAGTCAGAAGGTGGGGCGTGGCAGGATGGTATGAAACTTTTCGATTTTTTAAACATTTAAAATGAGAAAAAATCATTCAGTGGATAAAGATGAATCACTTTTTTAAAAATACATATTTATTGATTTTTTACAGAGAGGAAGGGAGAGAAATAGTTAGAAACATCAATGAGAGAGAAACATCGATCAGCTGCCTCCTGCACACCTACTAGGGATGTGCCCGCAACCAAGGTACATGTCCTTGACCGAAATCGAACTTGAGACCTTTCAGTCCGCAGGCTGACGCTCTATCCACTGAGCTAAACTGGTTAGGGCGAATCACTTTTTTTAAATGTTTTTCTTGGATATGAAGATTTCTCCATATTCTTGTCACCAATGATTCATTTTCCATTGATTTCTGGTTTCATAAGGAACTGTTGAGAACAGGATCATGCCCACTTTCATAATTTTATAGTTTTGGAAACAGCCTCCCAGGTTGTGCTGACATTGTCTTTTGGTGGCTTCTCTTTGGTAGAGCTTAAGTAGACAGCTAGCTGCCCTGGTCTGTGGAGTGTTTGTGGAAAGTGAAGGAGTCGCTTTTGAAAGAAGACTTGGAACTGTTCTCCCTGTGATTGAAAAGGAAATTGATCCTGAAAACTTTGAAGATGTAAGTTATTTAGTAGGGAATGAGAGTTTTGCTAATTTTTGTAGTTTTGCTTCAGGTAATACAGCTAATAGATTAAATACTATGTTCAAAAATGCTTTTTTATTAATAAAAGCAATAGTTCAATGCTGTTGGATCTTTTTAAAATGTGGACTAAAGTAAGTTTTCTTCCCACAGTATATGACAAAGGTTCTCAAGCAGGGTGATTTTAGCTCCCAGAGAACATTTAGCAATGTCTTACTGGCATCTAATGGTTAGGAGCCAGGGATGCTGATAAACATCTTATAGTACACAGGGCAGCCTCCCACAGCAAAGAATTGTGCAGTCCAGATGTCAGTAGTGTTGAGGTTGAGAAATCCTGATGTACATTTGCACGCTGGGATAAAAATGTCCATCACATGCTTTGCAATTGTTGTCTTAGTTGATTTGCGTCCATCCTGTTTTTAGATCATGGAAGAGACTAAAGAAAAAGCTGCAGATCGCCTTCTGTTCAGTTTTCTCACACTGATAAGTAAACTCATCAAGGAATGTAATATTATTCAGTTTACCAAGCCCTCTCAGACTTTGGGTAAAATCTGGAGTAAGTATTGTCTTTTTCTTTAAATCTAAAAATAAGCACATTGTTTGTGATAGAATTATTGAAAACAAATTTGGGAAATCAGAATATGAATACTTCAGAAAGTGTAATGTCAGGGGAAAAGTCAATAAAAAAAAAGATTTAAAGGGCCTTTTCACATTGATTACAGTGAAAAATGTTTCTTTGGGCGGGGGGTGGAGGTTAAATATATATATGTGTATATACATATATATTAATTATAAGTAATACATTTCATTTCTAAAAGAAAGAATATTAATTATAGAGAAGTATAAGAATGAAAAATACTCCCCAAAGTCCTCCTTGCTACTTGATGATACCTTGGTATATATTCCCTTCAATCTTTTTGGGGTTGGTTTGTTTTTTGAGGTTGCATAATTCCATATAAACTTTTATATCCTGTCTGTTTATACTAGTAGCTATCCCTTTAAATAGCTATAAATAATCCATCATGTAAATATGCCATACTTTACTAAACCATGTCATTTTTGTGAGTTATATGTCACTCTTTAAATGAAAAATATCCCAGAATTTTTAATTTAACATATTCAGTTTTGTTTAGTCAGTAGGAAATAGACATTGGAATGAATGCTCTAGACCAGGGGTGGGCAAACTTTTTGACTCGAGGGCCACAATGGGTTCTTAAACTGGACCGGAGGCCGGAACAAAAAGCATGGATGGAGTGTTTGTGTGAACTAATATAAATTCAAAGTAAACATCATTACATAAAAGGGTACAGTCTTTTTTTTTTTTAGTGTCTTTTATTTCAAACGGGCCGGATGCGGCCCGTGGGCCGTAGTTTGCCCACGGCTGCTCTAGACCCACCTGTTTCAAGAGAACTCGTGATCCTATGAGAAATATATGGCCTCCTCTGGTATGGCTCTCCTGAGACATGGCCAGATTATTAGAAAGGATCGTGTAGAACCAAAGTAAAACCATATTTATGAAATACAGTGACAGAGACTAAAACTCAGATATGACATGATTCAACCAGAATTTTAATCTTATTTCCCAGCACCACAAGGCTTTTCACTGTATTCTCCAAGTGCAGTGTATGGAGAGTGGCCATGGAGCTTGAGTATGGCCTTTAACGAATCCTATTTAGGAGTATGAGCTCTGAGTCCCAGGCTTGGTTCTGCCTCTTACAGCTCAACATATCACTTGGCCCTTCTGACACATCCATTTCCTCATCTATTATCTCAGATGGAAATGACAGTTCCAACCTCACAGAACTGGTGTGAGGTCTAAAAGCCCTGTGCCTGGCACCTAGAAAGCATCGTAAGTGATAGCTTTCCAGTCAGCTATTGGGAGCCACCAATTTCAGTCATTATGAGAAACACATGTTCGTACGTACGTATGTATGTATGTATGTATATACACACACATTCATTTTAATTTAGAAATTGTAAATGTTAATGCCACCTTATCTCCCTCCAATCTGAAAGTAGTTCTTATGGAGCTGGTTTGTTTTAGGCTTACCTCTCCCGTGTCATTTACCACGTTAGGAGCTGTTTTGCTAGTTGTTCCCAGTGTTTCTCACCTCATTGCTCCCTCATGTTCAGTTCCCAAATCCAGGCACATCATAGGTACTCAGGAAATGCCTAAGTTAGTCCTATTTACCACCAGAGTCCAGAAATCTGTTGACATCTGAGAATGTATTTTGGTTCTCTTAGGCCACGTGCATGCTCACCTGAGACATCCACACAACTGGGTGTGGCTCACTGCAGCCCAGATTTTTGGATTGCTCTTTGCCTCTTGCCAACCAGAGGAGCTTATTAGAAAACGGAATGTCAAAAAAGCTAAAAGGAAACTCTCAGAACCTGTAGCTGTCAGGTTCCTAACAAGTGACCTTGGCCAAAAGGTAAGGTTTCTCTAAAACTGTTCTTCCCTCGTGACCCATGTGCGATGTTCATTCTGGTTCATGTGATATCCTGGGGTTAGCCCTTGGGAGAAATTCTTCCAGCCAACAACTTGTTGCGTATGTGAGTCTATAGGAATCTTAGGAACCAGAAAGCAGTCACCCTCAAGGCCAAGTTTTTTCAAAGGTAATTTTTAGACTGTCAATCTAGTCATATTTTTGCTTTGCTTATTTAGACCATTCAGTATCTTTAATGTCTAAGTTATCGACATTGGAAAATAAGATTAATACAGCCCTTGGGAGAAATTCTTCCAGCCAACAACTTGTTGCGTATGTGAGTCTATAGGAATCTTAGGAACCAGAAAGCGGTCACCCTCAAGGCCAAGTTTTTGCTTTGCTTATTTAGACCATTCAATATCTTAATGTCTAACTTATCAACATTGGAAAATAAGATTAGTATTGTCTGTCCTGCCTCCTTCATAACCTTATTGATAATTAATGAGGTCATGGTTCATGAAAATGTTAGGTAGGGACCATGTTATTTCCATCTCTGATTCCCTAGGGAGGAGCACAATGCCTGGCTCATAGTGGGAACTATGTATATATTGATGAATGAGAAGAGTAAGAAGGGAAGAGGGGAAAACAGTATTGGAATGTTGTAAAATTCCCTTCTAATAATCTCAGAAATCACAATCTATATCTCCCCAAAGCTTAAATGTTTGTGGCAGGTAGAAGGGAACTGTTATACAATTTTTAGTCATGAACCTTCCCTCTCCAAATCCACTCAGAAATACCTTGTATTGTATCTTCCAATGTCTATTTTCACAGATGAAAAGTATCTCCCTAGCCTCTTGCCATCAGTTACATTCCAAATTCTTGGATCAGTCTCAAGGAGAGCAGGTAAGTATCATAATCCTATCCGGTTAAATAGAAGGGACCTATTCTACCAACAGTCTAGGAAAAGGCTCACATTTGGTGTTTGGTTTTTTTGTTTTGTTTTCCCTCGTTTAATGCTTGGGGAATTAACTGAAATATAAACATATACTCAAATACATGTTCAGTTATGCCCATATATCTAATTGACTCTGGGATCCATTGGGGATTACTCTTGGCTACATTTAAAATTCCTGATGCAGACAGTACAGTGGGAGGCTGTTTATTAAATATTTTCATCTTTAGTCTTATCTACTCCACATTGTGACTAATTATTTTCATATTAAATTATAATATTGAATTCCTTTTCTTAGTATTTGAAGAGAAAGTAATATTCTTGCTACCGGGTGGTCTGAGAATTGTCTTAACAGAAGACAAGTAATTCTATCACAAAAGCTTTATATATTTCCATATTATAAAGTTTAACCACATGTAAAATTATAGAGAAGGCATTTATAAATATGCAGTAAATGTAAATTGCTTTTGAATAGTTGGTCTGCTGCTCCCTTCTCTCTTTTGATAGTGCAGTTGGACTGGTAGTGGTGAGGGAACACAATGTGGCATATGGACAGGAGCAAGGCACTGGCACGTCTCTTGTGAGCTATTACGGACCAGACAGAGCAATACAAGTTAGGAAACTAGAAACTAGGTGAATGCTGTATCTAAAGTGTGATCTCAGCTGGCATACCAACACTTTCGTTTTGTTTTTTAGGTTGTTAAGAATTTGTTGTTCGTAGCTAAAGTCTTATATTTACTGGAACCTGATTCTGGCGATAAGCAAGGTCGGATGAAAGAAGGCATGGAAGAACAAGAAACTGTAGCAGGTGGTGTGGCCAGAGAGGCAGTGGAACATGAGGCCCATGCAGATGGGAAGGCGGAATCTGACCAAGAAGAGAATGAAGAGGGGAAGAAAGAGCACAGCAAGCCAGCCACGCTGCTGTGGCTGATCCAGAAGTTGTCTCGGATTGCAAAACTGGAAGCTGCTTACTCACCTAGAAACCCCTTAAAGGTGTGAGACATGTACAGAGTGACTCAAAGTGGCTTTTATGTTTTTTAAAAATATTTTAGTGGTGTTAGTGATCCTCCCAAGTTCCTAGGAACTTTTGCACCCAAAACTGAAGCAATAATATCTGTCCCCAAATGGACCTTGTTTTCTATATTATTTGTATGGCTGCAAGTATAAGAGAAACACTTTTAACGTATATTTTCAGAGAACATGCATCTATAAGTTTCTCGGAGCTGTGGCGATGGATCTTGGAGTAGACAAGGTGAAGCCGTATCTCCCGGAGATCATAGCTCCTTTGTTCCGAGAACTGAACAGCACCTATTCGGACCAGGGTAACCTCTTCTGAGTACTTTGCACCTCTCTCCTGAATACTTCCTTCTTCCTTCTTGCCCTCCCTCCCTGCCAGTCTATGTTAAGAAAACAAGATGATTAATAGCAAACAAATAAGGCATGCTTGTGTTACATTTGACTACCTTCGTTTTGCTTTCTGTGTCTAAGAGTGAACGTTTCCTAAAAGATGTTTTATTCCTAGGCATGAATATTCAAAGAAAACTATAATTTAGGGTGGTTCTAAACCTCATAGTGCTATATGAACAATCATGAACTGTGAAATATAATTCTCAAGAATTATATGGCAGAAGTATGAAATGTTCAGTTTAAATATTTCACTTTTTCCTGTCAGCCTCACTGATCCTAAAATGTCTATTTTGCTAATAAGAAAAGAGGGAACTGGGGGTTGGAAAGAGAAAGTAAAGCAGATGTTAAAAAGTTTTAAAATAGAGCAAATGAAGTAAATGTCAAAGCAGGACCTGCTGTGGTCCTACAGCCTTGAGAGTTTCCTTCCTCTTAAAGAGGCAAAGCAGTGGTGAAGGTCAGGTCTGCTTTGGTTCTCATCAGCCAACATATACTGAGCACCTAATATCTGACAGGCACTGGGGGTTCAACAGTGGAGAAAAGGCCTAGTACCTATTTTCAGGAAACGTGAACAGGCACACTGAACTCTCCTGAAATTGATGCAGAAATCTGGGTTCTTTGCATTTCAGAGAGAGGAGGCAGGGAAGCTTTTCATCAGCTTCACAAAGGAGTCTTTAATCCACACACACAGAGTTATGGCCAGAGGTAAATCTCTGTGACCTGTGAATTAGCGAGGGCCTGGAGAAACACACTTACCTTCCCCCCCATCTGCAGAGCTGAGCAGGTTAATCAAATGTAGCCCAGAACAGTGCTGTCCAGTTCTCAATGTCTTCTGAGCCAGGATTCTGCTAGGAAGTGGGCTTCATGGTCTCCGGTCTCTTGTTGAATCCTGGATGAGATGGTGGCTGGGAGCTGTGTCCAGCACTTTTGCTGATTTTCTCATCTCAGAAGTGTAGGGGTTAGTTTCAGATTAATGTTCAAGTAATAAAAGTGATAATGCCGTAGGAGTTTATATTTCACGTTATTGATTTTGTAGATATTCAGATGTATCCTTTCCTAGGTAACTGTCTGTGGTTATTATTCTGTGTGTGAACAGATCCTTTGCTGAAGAATCTATCCCAGGAAATCATAGAATTACTCAAAAAGCTGGTTGGGCTGGAGAGCTTCTCATTAGCCTTCGCCTCTGTACAGAAACAGGCTCATGAGAAAAGGGCACTCCGGAAAAAGAGGAAGGCTTTGGAGGTAAGTTTGCTGTTTGAAAATACAACACGGCATGTTCGTCATGCTTAGTGACTATTTTTAACCAGGGGTGTGTGTGCACACGTGTCGCACTGACCCAGGGAGGAAGAGGAACTGGCTGTGTTTGAGAAGTGCGGACACTATAACTGGGGCTCCAGCTTTTCTTTAGTGGGCGTGTAAACATTTGATGCTTGAAAGTGAATGAAATGGTCCATATGTGCATTTGATTTTTATTAGTTTAACTTTTTCTTTAAAAGTAATAGAACATTTCTATTCTTTTTTCAAGTTTGTAACCAATCCTGATATTGCCGCCAAGAAGAAGCTGAAGAAACACAAAAGTAAAAGTGAAGCAAAGAAAAGAAAGATAGAGTTCCTGCGTCCTGGCTATAAGGCCAAGAGACAGAAGAGCCACAGCCTGAAAGATTTAGCGATGGTGGAATAATGTGCCCCCTGTGCTGACAGTGTCTCATGAACTCTCCAGTGTATCTGCTAGTCAGAAGTCACAGCAGGTTTTCTTATTTAAGCTAAACTTTGGCAGAGATTGTATATTATACAGTTTAATATAATCATGCTCATATTTTTTTAATTAAAACATTTATAATACTACTGTATCTTCACTGTCTAAAAAGCATGCAATACTAACAACAGAATTTTAAAAAGTTTTAAGATATACTTTAAAACAGCAAGACAGCCCTGGCCAGTTTGGCACAGTGGATAGAGCGTCGGCCTGTGGACTGGAGGGTCCCAGGTTTGATTCCAGCCAAGGGCACATGTCTGGGTTGCGGGCTCGATCCCTAGTGGCGGGTGTGCAGGAGGCAGCCCAGCCCTGATAGGGGCTGGGCGAGACGGTCCCAATAGGCCCTGATTGCCGGCCAGGCCTAGCGACCCCACCCGTGCATGAATTTCATGCACTGGGCCTCTAGTATAAAAATAAACTCAAAATAGCCCTAGCCAGTTTGGCTCAGTGGATAGAGCATTGGCCTTTGGAGTGAAGGGTCCCAGGTTCAATTCCAGTCAAGGGCATGTGCCTGAGTTGCAGGCTCCATCCCCAGTTGAGGTGGCGGGGGTGCAGGAGGCAGCCGATCAATGATTCTCTCTCATCATTGATATTTCTATCTCTCTCTCCCTCTTGCTTCCTCTCTGAAATCAATAAAGAAATATATTTTAAAAAAATAAAACAGCGAGACAAAATATAGAAGTTAGGGGTAAATCAAATACGATTTATAATACCCTTCTGTAGGAAACTAATACTTCATCAAAAGGCATTAGGAAAAATCTGCACAAATAGGGAAATATAACCATATTCATAGATAAGAAGATTCAGTATCATAAGAGGCTAGTTATTCCCCAAACTGGATCCCATTGATTAAATGCATATCTGAGCAAAATCCCCAGTTCTTTATATTTTATTTCATATTACCTTAACCAGCTGATTCTAAAAAATTTTTTGTTAATCCTCACCCAAGGATATTTTTCCTTTTTTTAGAGAGAGTGGAAGGGAGAGGGAGAGACAGAGAGACATATTGACTGGTTGCCTCCCACATGCACCCTGACCAGGGCCGAGGAACCTGAAACCAAGGTATGTACCCTTGACTGGAATCAAACCCGGGACCTTTCAGCCCACGGGCCAAAGCTCTATCCACTATGCCAAACCGGCTAGGGATGATTCTAAAATTTATACAGAAGATAAGCTGAGCCATGATGCTCTTAAAAGGGAACAGGGTATGGGGCTTCTCCTGTGAGTTATCAAAAGTGAGACACAGTGCTATCTATAGGAGGAACGTGGTAAATTCTACTTCATTATAATTAAGACTTCTACTGAGAAAAAGACTGGGATATGGTATGTACTGATAAAGGTTATAATGAATCCCTGTGAATCAACAGTAAAAAAGTGGCATTGCACAGAAGAAATATAAATGGTCCTTAAACATTAACAATTAGCCAATATGTTATATGATTAAATACTAAAGTACTTATGTACTGGTTGGTAAACAGTCACTACCTTGACACCCCCCCACACCAGAAATTAAAGGGTTACTATCTAGACTGGTAGGGGGTCCTCCTGCATCAGCTATGTCTAGTTCAATGTTTTTAATCACTCCTGTATTCAACCTCATTAATAATTAGGAAAATGGAAATTCCATTTAGAAACCTTCAGATTGATAAAGCTGACAATGTCATTGTTGGCAAGAATATTAGCCCTTTGTTATCTATATATAAAAGCCTAAGTGACTGAATGACTGGTCACTATGATGTGCACTGACCAGCAGGGGGCAGACGCACAATGCAGGAGCTGTCCCCTGGTGGTCAGTGTGCTCCCACAGGATCGCCGCTCAGCTGACCGACCTGTCCATCCCAGTGGCCCACCAGCCCAGCTGCAGCCACTCACTCCCTCAGTAGTCCTGCAGTTCCAATCTCCGGAGAAAGGGCCAGGCACCAATGGACTGGCGCCGCGGGCCTCCTGGAAGTTGGCCTTGGGCACTGTGGCCGCTTCCCCTCCCTAGATGCTCCACAAAGAAATGATATAAAAGTGGCCGCCAGATGGCTCCCAACCAGCACAGAGATCAGCAGGATGGATCTGGATCCCGGGCTGGCAAAGGTGTCCCACCACCCACCCAGAAGGCCGATTATGTCCTGGCCCTCCTGCCCCCCCACCTCAGGAAGGGCGCCAGACGCAGGGCTCTCCCGATCGGGACAGGGCGCGAGCCCGCAGCAGGTGCAGCGGGGCTGGGATGAGCGTGAGCAGCAGGCAGGAGCAGCAGGTGGCATTGGACTGCAGGTTTCGGCCCGATCCCCGCAGGCACCCGAGGGACCCCACCCGTGCACGAATTCGTGCACCAGGCCTCTAGTATAGGATAATGATGGAGTTAGAGTAGTATAGCATATGTATCTGAATCAAATGTTCAAACATTCATAACTTCAGCACCTATGTTTTGATGTAGATTGTGTCTCAAACAAGAGTTCTTACACTTCCAAGGAGTTTGTAATGCACCAAAAGAAAAAATGTGGGGGAAGTTGGAAGGCCAATTTCCATTAATTTTAAGTGATTTAAAATGCATGTATTACTTTATTAAATTTTTAAATATTGAAAGTTAACACTAAGACAAAATCAAAAAACAAATACCTCAGGGATATTAAGCACAGCTTTGTTTTAATTAGTATTTATTGAGTGCCTACTATGTGCCAGGCGCACCACACTAGATGTAAAGGATACTAACAGTAAATAAAGTAAGGTCCCTGCCCTCAAGGAGCTTACGTTTCCACAATTTAAAGTGCATCTCAAGTATCCTGCTAACAGAATCCCACCACTCTCAATTTAATTTTCAGTGTAATCACATCATAGCATACCTACAACCAGTTATAAAACAATGTTAAAACTAAAACATACCTCAGATATTATTTGTTCAAGTCTCGTTTCTTAGAGAGAAAAAATTGAAGGAATGGCCACATGTGCCTAGAACTCATGGGTTGTTTTTTTGTTTTGTTTTTTAGATTTTTATAAATACCAACATTCAACTCATGTAACATACCTGTACAGTTGTTTCCTGTAAGACAAGGGCTTTATAATTCATACCATATTAAAATAAATGTATGCTCTTTTATCCCATCTTATTCTTTGCAATAAACCAGAGGGATCAGGATCACCTAAGTTCTGAACTTGGCTATAGCTTCCTGGGCCCTCCTCAGAATTCAAGACTGGACAGCACCTGCCCGTCATGGCCTCACTTCCCCATACTTCTATTTTCACAGTGATCCTGAACTTCTCCTCTTGACACTGAGACCAAACAAATTAGGAATGGGTGCTGGAAAATAAGAAGAGTAAATCCCACAGGCAAAAAAAAAAAAGCCACATTCATTGGAGTAGAGAGAATGACCAAAAGTGTGAGGGCAAGGCCAGAGGCCAACATCTGGTAGGACAGTGTCAGGGACAGGAAGTGAATCCCTAGTGTTTCTGAAAGGTGAGGAGCACAATAGTATTAAGCTCACTTTACCAGCATCTACTATCTTAAATGCAGTTATCCAACTTACAAAGTGAAAAAATTTCTCCCCAATTTTAGTAATTACTGAGGACTATATTTACTTCTGTTACACTGGAGCCAATTCTGTGGTAGAATGGGCAGTTTGAAAAGTTCCTTTGACCATAACTGATAACCTACGAGTAAACCTAATTTCTAAAACCAAGAATGCTCAATTTCTCCCTGTAGAACCAATAAGATTTTGACTTCACCAATCAAATTTACATGTCCAATTACAAGTAGATAAAAGGAATGAAAGACAGTAAAAACATCTTTTACAATGCTTCTTAAAATATATCTTTATTTCCTTCAATGTGACTATTTTTAATGTGTTGTGAATTCATCAAATATAACCATTTAGGACTGTTTTTACTACCTCTACTAGTATGGACAGATAAATTTACAGGCATTATTTTGAATGTAGTCTACTTCAGTTAGCATAATTTTATGTAGGGAGTTATATCATTTGAACTTACATATGGTGTAGTTCATGGGACAAGCTTCTGACCCTGAAGTCTCACTTTGAGCCTGGCTCCCAGCTTACTAGCAGTTGGGCAAGCCAAGCTATCAACCCAAGACTCAACACGTCCATAAAACGAAAACATTACATTACAATCTGTCCTATCTACATCACAGGGTTCTTGTAAAAATTGACCAGGTATCAATATACATTGAATTTTTTTTCAACTATAAAGTACTATAAAATAACAATTACAGATACATCAGTGACGTTAACTATCAAAATAATTATTTCAACTTCTTGCCTATAACCAAAAGCTTTTAAATGAAAGTTTAAATAAAGTGGTTACTGAGCAAATGAAACTATATTACTCACACTGTGTTCCTAGACTACCCTATTGAGTCTACTTTTTGGAAAAGTTTAATTCATTTTAGAGGGAAAAAATCTGAGCTAAGGTATTTATTAGTGTTTATATAAACAATCTGCAACCACTCATTCAAAAATAGGGTTTTTCCCCCTTGATAAGAGTGCATTTTTTAATAGGACTGTATTTGAATAAGAATTCCACACAAATAGAATATATACCTTAATAATACAAGAAAGCAAGGAAGGAATATTTTACATCATACAGACCAGTCAGTTGGTTCATTCAAGATGAGCTATCCTTCCAACCAAATACTTCTTTTTTATATTTATTACAAATGTGTAGTCAGTTCAGTATATGCCAACAATCATACACAGCTTTAACATTTAGTAGTGTGAAGCACACTTAACTATTTCCAAAGGGACATGGGATGTGGTCTTCATTTCAGAAGGAGAAGTGATTGGATTACTGCCTGCTCTTTAATGCTTCAACTAACCTGTAAAGAGAAAATGAATAGTTTCATAAATTTAACTTCAAACTTTCAGGTATAGAGTATGATCATTTATAAACTTTATACTGGAGATGGATTCCAAAGCACTTTAAAATATATTTTTATTTATTTCAGAAAGGAAGGGAGAGGGAAAGATAGAAACATCAATGATGAGAGAGAATCACTGATTGGCTGCCTCCTGCACGCCCCCTACTGGAGATCAAGCCCACAACCCCGGCATGTGCCCCTGACTAGAATCGAACTGGGGACCCTTCA